ATAAAATCGTGGCCCACCTTCTACAAACACAGGCTCAGTGCTTCCACGGTTTGCTAGCTGAGTGGCAAGCCCACACCACTTTTACATTGTTTCCCACCAGTAATCAAGTAGTGGGAATAGGTATCAGGGCCCTAAGTTCTCTTCTACCACAATCTGTCCTGCTAAGAGCCTATACATCATTGAAAAAGTACTCTTTTCTAAATAGTGAAAATATATAAAACTTAGATGTACATTGCATTGAGTCATATTGTTACGATCCGTAGTACTTCAGGATGCACGTTTCCCTTCCCTCATAAGTGGTATCCACTTGCCTTACCCACTGAACTATACAAACAGACCCAAGAGACCCTCAGTTCATCGTCCCTCTTCTTCTGTACAAGCTCCATGATTTTTAACCTCTTTCTTTTACTTGTATAACAATTCCATAGAATCTAGAACAGCTCTACAAACAGATGGAGAAACAAACACAAATCACAGAGAGGAGTGAAAAAAAAAGATGATTTTGCCCCACTCCCCAGCACTATCCTAGGTATGGAAAATGGAAGTGAAATGACACAGTGTCACTGAGGCACTCCCGTGCAAGGACCCCTGTGTCCTGGTGCCATCCTTTCCCTCACTGCTGCTGTTCCATTTCATTTTTTGTTGCTTTTAAAGAAAGAGAAAGATAGAAAAGATGAATTCCCTTATCAGAGCCATTTCGCCAGAAAATTTTGTCAACCAGGGAAGGATAGGAGCAGGAAGATGAGAGGGGAAAGTGCTTTTCTTACTAACATCTGAAATAGAAAAGAGGTTACTTTGTGGGAAGCAGGAATATTTAGAAATGCCAAACATAATATTATTTGTGACCCTTCTCGCAATCTGACCTACACATAATTCTTTCCCACGTGATCATTTTCTCCTTCATCTTAAATCATCAATCTGAAAAGTGACACATTTTGAAGAGACACAAGAATTCTATCAGGATGGCTGGATTCTACATTATTGTATGTAGGGAAAAAAAAATATTTTTCCTTGTGGCTAAGCCAATGTCTTAGGGTAACTGCTCACAGATTCCTCCCTGTGGTTATGATGGAGGTTTTCATAGTAGTGTGTCATACATTTCCAAACTGGTACAGAAACTCCCTGAGTAGCTTTACAGTTTGAATGGCAAGCACGGGTCAAGGCCAGAAGGTGTCCCTTTACCATGGGATGTTTTCCAGTTAGTAGCCCCTGTGGCTAAGAACAAAAATGCCTTCTCAAGGTCCACTAAAATGCCCTGCAGAGGGCAGATGCAGCATGTTTCCTGCCTGGAGAGGTGGGATATCGACCCAGAACTCAAATCTATATCCAGCTTAAACATTTTACCCATCAGCATGTCTTCGGTCACAAAACACTTCTTCTTTCTGTCACTTCTTGTTCCGGCTACTGATAAGATCATTTGGTTGAATCTGTTTGGGACCCATGTAATATTGACTAGGTGTTAGGAAAGATGATCCGGTGGAATAATCTCAGAAACTATCTTTCTAAAAGGACACTTACACCAAGGTTCCATGGAGGACTTTCACTATATCAACAAACTTATAAACTAATCCAATAGCTCAGAATTCTCACTCATTTTGAAACTGAGTTTGGTAAGTGTAGTGTTCCATCTAATATTGTTTGATAACAATCTGATATTAGCATTATGACTCGAGTTTTTCTGATCAATTCTCCTCCTTTTTTATTTTAAAGCCTATTTGTTTGCTGATGAGAAATAGACACTACATTATAAGCTACTGAAAAATCTTTATCTTTTCCTATAAGCCTCACATTAACAATATAGGAGCCACTTCTAATGTTTTGGAAAAATCATATACAGTATATTGTCTGCTGAAAGATATTTGTTGATTATTAAGAAGAAGAATCCTCTAACTCTCCCTGTTTTTTTGCAGGTCCCCAATTATGTGAGGACATGTGAGCAGAGATTAGAGTCTACCCAGTGCTGTTGATGGGCCCTAAAACAGCCCAATTGGATAAGATACAGATAACCTGCAAAGAAGATGCAGAGACATCTGCATACATTTACAAGGCAAACATTTGATTTTTTTTTTTTTGTGGACCATGAAATGGCAAACAAATTGAAGTTTAGATCCAAAGATCATTTCGATTTAATGCTACAGGCATAGGGACTGAAAGATTTGGAATTGATGCTTATTTTTGCAAAGAAAAATAAATCAGAACAGTAGCCTCCATTTAGAAAAGATGCCACTGAAAGGTAGAAACATGAAACCTGGCAGTATATGCATAAAATTTATTCCAAAACTTTATGAAGTATAAAGGAAGGGAAGTGTTTCACACATAACTCAACTCAGTCAGTATAAGATCTAGGGTTATTTTTCCCCTTTTAAAACTTGGCACTATCTTTAAAAATAAAATAAAGATATTTCAATAATTAGAACAAACTATGAAGGTATTGTGCATTTCTGTTTTATGTAATAATAAAATATTACTTTAACATAAATATATAAGGATCTCTGTGTTTTTATTTTCCCCACAAGCACAACCAAATGTACCAAAACAAAGTAATTTTAAAGAGACTGAACAAAAAAATTACATCCCATATAGATTTTGCTTACCTATTCACTTAAAGCTACAGAAAAAAACAGTTTCCAGAACCTTTTTGCTTCAAAAGAAATAAATATACATTGAGGCAGGCCACTTAAAAATGATATGAAAATATTTCCCTGGGTAGCATTAAAAAAAAAAAAAAAGAAAAAATAGACAAAGAAACATTTAAACTATTTCTGCATTTCAAAAGACAGATATTAAACATATATACATAGCGGTAAGGTTCAGTGGTAACTTTCATCTTAGTAAACCTATGAGAGTTAGAAGGGCTGTGTTCACATCCCTGAACGCTAGCTTCTGACCTTACCTACTTGGTAATAAGTATCTGAAAATTCATTTCCTCCCTTTACCATTGGCTATTTGCCCTGCTTGGATTGCTTCACTACAGCCAGTCCCCTCACCTCAGGAAGAGGCAGTGTGAAGCCCTCAGAGCAGCTCCGTGCCTATCTCCTTGTGACATTCATTGGGGGAAATGAAGAACAGGCAAATAAATATGCCCATTCTAAGTCACCATTTAGCTTGCAAAAACATTGAAAATGAAACAATCACAGGTGTTTGAAAAGACAATCTTGTATAAAGCATATTTCCTAAAACCTTAACTATTGAGTGCAATGCTAATCTGATGCTGAACCATAATTTTATGGTAGTGAGAATTTTTTAAATAAACATTTATCTAATATCTAACCAGAAAAAAAGCCCCAAACTTTAAAGTTAATAAAAAAGTGTCTTCCCTTTTAGCGCCCTTTTGTGCTGATTATTATTTTTAATTTTAACTGATCACAGTTTAATGGTATTTATTTTCAATGCAGTTACAACTTTTTTTCTTTCACCTACACTTTCCAGAAGAGTCTTTTGTGTTGGCAGTTAACAGTTTTCCATCAAGACAAGGTAAAAAATGCACTTAAAACTATTAACAAAGGAGAGAAAGGAAGGATTGAAAATGGCATTTTTTTTTCCACTTCATTTGGCTTCCTTAGTGAAAGACAGGGGGGATAAAAGCTGTCCAAGTCGAACTGGTATTTTTTGCAATAAATTACAGGAGAAGAGGATTATGGGACCCTAAATATGAGGTGATAGCAAATGAGCTAGTAAAGACAAAACCAGTCTACTGTCTATGAATGCATGTGGCATTTGTGTGCCAAGAAACACTGTCTATGCACATAATATTAAGTTCCTGGCTTATTTTCTTTCTGATTTTTAAGTAAAAGCTATTAGAGGAATAAAGTCTAATTGCTGCTGTCATCACATATAATTCCTCATAACTAAGTTTTTAAACCAAAGGGAGAGAACTATTTAAGATCTCTGAAGATAGCTATTTTCCTAGTTCTCTTCAAAGTGCCACTTTCCTTCTGTTGGACAACTCTGGAAATATATTTAACCTCCACATTTCCTCCGAGCTCTTTCACAATGGGCCCGCCTGATAAAATGAAGCAATCAGTCACTCAATATCGATTTTTCTTTTTCTCCCCCCATAACCTCTCCCAGAAACACTGCCTGAAAATGAAGTTTACTTTGTCAGTAGGAACAAAAACCTATGCTTGTTTGATTCTTATTTTTTATATTCCAAACTGGATTCTTGCTTTGGGTAAAACAGAACATACACATTTCCTGAAAGCAGACAATTAATTTTGTATGAAGCCAATCATTTTGCTTTGGTTAAAGGAGCAAATAACAACTGTTAGACCAATTCAAGGGGGATCTAAAGGTAAGCAAAGTTCACAAATAGTAAGAACCAGGGTTAATACAAGAACATCAGAAATGGGGAGTCAGTCAGAGTGGGCTACAATTCTCCCCGCTGAGTGAAACAAAACAAAACAACACCAAAAACCGTCAATTCCAAAATGAATGGCGAGGATAAGAGAAAATCATGTTTCTAAATTGGTTCACGTAAACTTCAATTTTTTTGCAGGGTACATTTCTGTGTAAAATTTACTTGTATGGGAGATGTATGTGTTTGTCCTCTTTCCTGATGGGGATCCACGTTAAATAAACAGCAGCAGCATGTACTGGCTTCGAGCCTTGGAAGCTGCAATTTTGTGTTTATCCTGGTTTTGGTGAATTTTTTTCTTTTTGGTAATTTATTTAGTTTTGCCAGGTATTAGTCTCAGATTTTTTTTCTCTCTCTCTCTCCCTCCCTCTCTCCCCTCACTCTCTCTAGGAGACACTATTTCATAGCCTGGGTACTTGCCTGCAAAGGTCATGAGACATCGTTACACCTGCTACCGTTTATAGGATAGTCCAGTGTCTTAGTTGCTTTCCTTTTCCTTATTTTTTTTTTTCTTTTTAAGGGACGGGGAAATAATAATTAAAAATAAAAGAACAATCAGAAGTTAGAGAGGGAACAGGGGTCCAGGAAAGGACTAGGAGCCAAAGGGGAGGGAGAGCCCTGCGCTCTGCCCCTCCCCCGCTCGAGTTCACTGGACGGGCGTCTGCACCCCGTGGTGTGGTGGCGTGTCCCTACTCCCCCCGTACACATCCTCGGCGCCCGGCAGAGTCCCTCCGGGAGGGGTCATCCTTTTCTCTTTCTGTCTCCTGTTACAAAACCAAACTCTCACCACCTCCTTCTCCAGCTGTAAGCTGTCCGCGAGGGAGGTGATCTCCTGGGCCGAGGGCTTGGGGCATTTGAGGAAATGACTCTCCAGAGCCCCCTTGACGCTCACCTCGATAGAGGTCCGCTTTTTCCGCTTGCGCCCCTGCGCTGCGATCTTGTCTATGCTCGTGGGGCTGCCCGAGGACGAGTCCGCCTCCTCCAACCACTTGTTCAACAAAGGCTTCAGCTTGCACATGTTCTTGAAGCTCAGCTGCAGGGCCTCAAACCTGCAGATGGTGGTCTGCGAGAACACGTTGCCGTACAGGGTGCCCAGCGCCAGCCCCACGTCTGCTTGGGTAAATCCCAGTTTGATCCTCCTCTGCTTGAACTGCTTGGCGAACTGCTCCAGGTCGTCCGAGGTCGGCGTGTCCTCGTCCGAGTGCGGGTCGTGATGCGCGCCCGGGTGGCCCGGGGGGCCCTGCGGGGGTGGCGGCGGCGGCGGCTGCTGGTGCGGGTGCGAGTGGGGGTGCGGGTGGTGGTCGGCGTGGTGCGGCTCGTCGTGCGCGTCCCGCAGGCCGTGGTGGTGCAGCCCCGCCGGCTGCCCTCCTGCGCCCAGCATGCCGTTCACGGTGAAGCTGGGCTGCGAGTAGAGCAAGCCGCCGTTGGATGCTCCCATGGAGGGCGGGAGGTGCGCCGCGGCGGCCGCGCTCCGCCATGCCCCGGGCCCGGGGTGGTGGTTGGCGGCGTGGTGCACCAGATGCGGCGGCCGCGGCTGCTGCTGTTGTTGCTGCTGCTGTTGCTGCTGCTGCTGCTGTTGCTGCTGCTGCTGCTGCTGCTGGTGCTGCGGCTGCAGCGCGCCCGGCCCGTGCAGCTCGTCGCCGCGGCCGCCCTGCTGCACCACCACCGAGGGCTTGATGTCCGGCTGGCCCAGGGGGCT